CTTTATCATTTGGACAATGTGGCCTGGATAGTAATATCCATCAATCTGTTTTCTAGCTAGGACTCTGATTCCCCTTGGCAAGTTGTGAATCTTTGAGGCCCAGTTCTCTGAATCATCCTGCATGGAACCACTCAGAAATACATAAGGAGAATCTGGACTCCATGTGTCCAAAGGAAATCTGTGGACATAGGAAAGGATATGTGCTATTTTTTTAAAAAAATAATTTCTCCCATTATTTCAAGACTAGCAAAATAAAATATTCACCTAAAACTCATGAAAAGTGCAGTGGCAGGGAGTCCACTCTGACTGCAAGTGTGAAGAGGGTGCATTTGTCCATGAAGCCAAGAGAAGTGGGAAGGAGAGAAGTTGGGCTCAGCTGGTGATGTGGCATTCAGCCTGCCTCAAAGGAAGATTCATACCCAGGGGTGGGCAAAGTGCAACCCCCTCCCAGGCCATGGAACTTCCCCTGCAAAGTTGAGAGACCCTCTTTACTTGAAATAGCCAGCATTCTTTGCCACACCTTGGCATGAAGCAACCAAGATGATCCCACATCTTCCACTCCCTTGCTGTAGTTCCTGCTTAACTTCCATGCTGCTCCTCAGTCTCTGGAAGCAATCTTATTGGTCCTGCCAAATGCTTCCAGCATTAAATCCTCTTTGCTCAACCCCAATGAACAGAGTGGTGTTAATGCGGGGAAATGTGCCACTTTTTGATACTTGCTTTGAACTTGTGCGTATTCTTAAACAAAGGAAAATAGAGTTTTCAAGGACTAAGTCTTTTGCAGAGAAAAAAAAAAAGAGTCTTCTGGCACCTTAAAGACTGACAAAGTTTATTTGGCATTAACTCTTATTGATGACACTGCCCCCAGCTGCTCTACTGATTGATGTGCAGGTAGAAGTACTATGCCCAGTAGATTCATCAGCCTCACAAAACTAGGGGGGAGAAATGTCACAAGCCACAGAACTATCTTTCAGTACCCATTCCAGGCAACACATTCAGAAAATGGCCAATTTCAGCTGATATATAAGACTAGTGGAAGTGATGCCAAAGGCAAAAGTCACAGAAATTGCTTAGAAACCACTTTCTACTACTCATCCCAGGCAAAACATCTGTGTTCTGTAAAACAGCCCACAATATAAATATTTCAGATAGCCATGCTTACCAAATTCACCAGTTGTAGAAGAATAAATAAGTAAGGCAACAAGCCAGAAAAAACCCATAGGAATCAGGTCCAAATGTCTGTATTCTAGAATAATAGTTCTTAACCTGTGGTCCACAGACCCCTGAGGGACCATGGTGGCCTCACATGGGGTCCCAGGTGGGGGTCCTTGCTCACCCTCCCTGATTCTCTGACTAACCAATTTCCCTGCCTCCTTTTCCTATAAAAGGGCACGTGGAAACACTGTGCACCGGCCAGCTAGGGTAAGCAATGGAGAACAGAGCCCCTTCCCTCCCTCCTCTACTGTGCACTGCCACAGCCATTGTGCTCCCCAGGGGGATCGCTCACCCTCCCTCCCTCTTTCTCTGCCCACCTTCCCTTCCTGACTTGTTATCTTGTAGTTGAAGGACACATGGAGCAAAAAGCAACCCCATCGGTTCCAAGTTAAGGTATTTGATGCACTTTAGAGATTTAAATGTTGAGTTAAGTCTAGGGGGGGAAGGTCTGTGGCAATAAAAGATATTTCAAGGGGGGGGGCTGTTAAAGAAAACATAAAGAACCACTGTCTTCATGCATTACTTTAAAAATGTACTGTAATATATTTATTTATTAATTTATCATTTTATTTATTTGACTGACATGACTGTTCAATAAAAGATAATTTTCACTGCCTGCATTTATTTTTCTGGCCATTGCTATTATTATTTATTTCATTTCTTGATTATTACTGAAAATAATATTGTTGGGTGTTAAAATGATCCATATGGGGTATCAAATATGCTAGGTATGACACTGGTGCAGTGTATGGCCCTTGAAAAGTTGTTTGACTGCAAACCACAGTGATCCTTATCAACTTCAGTCATGGGGGATTATGGGATTTGCAGTCCAACATCTGTAGGGCCTATCCCTGATCTAAAAGATCTATGGTCTTTAAACTTACTGTGTTCTGCAGTGGCCCATCAGCCAAGGGGAGGAGTGCTGCTTGCTAATACAAACAGAACATTGAATGCCTCCTGCAGTACAATCAGAGTTATCCTAGAAAGAGATTTGGAGAAATAAAAGTTTTACAGAGGATTTCAAAGGTCATGTCTTCCAAAACTTAGTACTAGTACTAGTAGAACTTCCACCCAGTTTGGTCCTTTCCAGCAATTTCATTCATTGGTTTGGTTCATAAATGCATATGCATCTCTTTAGTGAAGTAACACACTTGTATATGTAAATGGGCCTTCATTGTTCTCTGGAGAAAGAAGCTGAATGTGACAAAGGCACATTTTTCAAGTGCAGTAGCTCTGGCTAATCAATAGTGACTCACTCAATGATGAAAAAATCAAGTGATGTACATGTATATATGTGACCCACCCCTCAGATTGTCTTGACCCCATTTACTGTTACTTACGTAGAGCTTGGAAAAGTTCCTTTTATGAACTACTACTTTCAGATTCCCCAGCCAGCAGAGCCAAGCTACATTCCAAAAGAAGTAATTTTCTAGGCTCTGTACCTACCTCATCTGAAGCCCCACCGGGGCTGACGCTGAGGGATTGAAAGGAACCACCAGACTCCTTGGCTACTTTCTCCAGTATTTTTTCTGAACTGTCTTTCCTCTCTTCTCCACCTCCTAACAAGTAGACAACATGAACAGGATGGGCTTGCTTTGTGTCCTTTAGGTGCCTACAGAGGTCCTCCACTGTGACCTCAGGCAGCCCAATAGTGAAAAGGTACACTGCTTGGCAGGTACGATCCTCCAGGGCTGCTGCCACAGCATTCAAGATGTTGGCTGTGCTGCTGATCTGAAGGGCTCTGACCCAGGCAGCTGCTTCAGTCACAGTGGTGAGGGAACAAACCACCAAGCTATTCTGCCATTTTAACACCTGCAGAGGAAATGACAGGATTACCTACAATAAACAAATAAATACAGAGTACAAATTTTTGAAAGAATGCAGATTTAAATTACTTTATTATTATATTCCCCCCTTTATTGTCAGCAATTTGGCAAAGTTTAGAAGGAACAGGAAAGCAGAAAGATAATGGCAGAAAATGATGCTGTTTCTGCTAACTAAAAGTCCTAGCAGTCTGAACTTGAGAGCCCTGCTCTACTGCAACAATGGTAATGAACATCTCTTGCGGGTGACTGTTACTCTAACTTGAAACAGTCATCACCACAAGCCTATTTGGGTGACAGCTCCCCACCCCAGGACAGTCTTCCCTAGTTCAGAGGTAAAGTAAAGGTAAAGGACAAAGTGCAACCAATGGGCAATATCTGGCCCTTGAGACACCTAGACTGTAGCTCTGGAAGCCTCCAGAAGTCCTTCAAAACCTCCAGGCCCTCAAATAAAATGGGGGGCAGGGATTTTTCAACTGAAAACCAGCCAAAAGCCCACCAAACTGCTTTCCACTTTGCTTCCTACAATTACCGGAGGCCTCCTAAACCTCCAAAACCCCTGAAAAAAATAAAACAATTGCCCTAAAGTCAGCCAAAATGGTGTCTGGAAGTGGCATCTGATTTGTAGAAATGCACTCGTGTGACTGGGCAGGTATGAGCAGGAGTGGCCCTCTTCCCTCTGCAGTTGCCCACTTGAGATATACTGACTGTGGTCCAAAATACACTGCAGAAATAATCCAGTTTGAGACCAGTTTAACTGCCCTTGAGCAAAACTAGGGAACTCTGGGAACTGTAGTGTTATGAGACATTTGGCCTTCTCTGTCAGAGAGCTCTGGAGCCACAATAAACTACAATTCCCAGGATTTCCCTAGCTCTGAGCCAGGACAGTTAAAGCGCTCTCAAATTGGATTATTTCTGCAGTGTATTTTGGACCTAGGACTTCGACCATCCCAGATTGATGTGAGTTGTATTGCTGCATACCTGCAGGACAAACAGTTGGAAAAGGCTCCCCTAAAATGACATTAGAGCTTGGATTGTTACTTTTTAAAAAGAACTGGATACTTTAGTCATCACTCTGATCACAACTACTGCTGCTGTCCATAAAAGTAACTCACAGAGTTACTCATAAATAAGAAGTTATGGTTGCTATTACACCTTTGAAAAATACAAGCTGAATAGCCCTTATTCAGAAATCTGGAATTGGAAATACTCCAAAATTGCCCACGTGAGTAGCTGAGATTTGCTTTCTGATAGTTCAAGGTACACAAACTTTGTTTCATGCACAAAATTATTAAAAACATTGTGTTTAAAATTACCTTCAAGCTATGTGTGTAAGCTGTATATGAAACATACATGAATTTCAAAAAGTAATGAGTTACTAAATTAACTTATTAAAATGTATTATTTCATAACTCTGATAGTTCTGTACTAGTTTTTTATTACCTTTCCAGAGCAGCTGATGACATTGAACATGGAGTCCAGCAGTTTGTTGGGCAATGAAAAAAGAGTCTTTATGAGAACCTCTTTCAGGATACGTAGTTTGGAAGGGTTAGTTTCAGAGGCACAGATCACAAAAGCCACATTTTGTTCATGAATGTCAGCCACAGGTATGCCACCATGGCAGAGATAAGACATTTTAGATACTTGTTCCCTGTTCTAGAAATAACAATAAAAACAATAATAAAAATTTCAATGACAAACTACCAAAGCACACAAACAATGGTGAGTCCATGAATTTCAAAGGGTTTTCTTAAGTAAGGAATCTTCATAAGTGATTTGCTATTGCTTTCCTCTGAAATATACCCCATGTTGTTGTTGTATGTCTTCAAGTTATTTCTTGAATAACCCTAAGGCAACCCTATCATGGGGTTTTCTTGGCAAGATTTGTTCAGAGGAGGTTTGCCATTGCCTTCCCCTGAGGCTGAGAGCATGTGACTTGCTCAAGATAATCCAAAAGTTTCATGGCCCAGCAGAAGATCGAACTCTGGTCTCCAGAGTTGTTGTCACACACAAAAACCACTATGCTACAGCACCTGAAATTTCCTAATGGTCTTCCTTTCAGTTACTTGCTATATGTACACACACACACAAACACACACACACACACACATCAGGGTGGATAAAAATCAATTATTTAAAAAAATGAGAATTTAAAAATTTGAAATCAGATTTTAAAAAAAATTAAATTGGAGTTTAGAAAGTTCCAATTTTATTGATTTATTGATTTCATTTGTATGCTGCCTTTCTCCCTAGAGAGACCCAAAGGCGGCTCACAGACAAAACATTTAAAGTTTTGGTAAAATTCAACCAATTAAAAACATCTAGATAAAAACATAAAATCACATAAAAATATACAAAAAGTTAAAAACATAACTAAAACCCACTTGCCCCATAAAAACCACCCTGCTAAGTCACATACATGGCAGGGATATATCCCAAAAAGTCATCATGAACTTTGCAAAGGGGAATGAAGAGAGGCAGGGCACTGGAACATGGGTCGGATTGAGGGGCGTCTTTCCAAGATTGCAGTTGCAAAGATGTGGAGGCAACAGGAATTTCTTCTATCTCAGGCTGCATCTGCACTGCAGAAATCATCCAATTTGAGACCACTTTAATTGCCATGGCTCAGTGCTATGGAATTCTGGGAACTGTAGTTCTGTGAGCTATTTAGCCTTTTCTGTCAGAGAGCTCTGGTTCTATAACACCAATTCCCAGAATTCCATAGCAGTGAGCCAGGGCAGTTAAAGTGGTGTCAAACTGGATTGTTTCTGCAGTGCAGATACAGCCACATATAATACTGAAAAATATAGAGGAACAATTGAATGAAGTTTAGGGCTGTTGTTTGACTATCTTATTTCTATGCTAATCTTTGGAGTAAATTTCCAGGCATTGTAATAAAACACACAGATATTTAGACTTCTCTGTCAGAGAGCTCTGGTGCCACAACAAACTACAGTTCCATGAATCCCATAGTATGGCACCATGGTGGTTAAAGTGGTGTCAAATTGGATTATTTCTGCAGTGTGGATGGAGCCTCAGTCTATCTTCTGTCTCAGTCTACACTGTAGAAACAATGCAGTGCTGTAGCCCTATCCTATAGAATCCAGGGATTTGTAGTTTCACAAAATCTTTCAGCCTTCTCTGCCAAAGAGTGCTGTTGCCTCATCAAACTACAAATCCCAGGATTCTGTAGGATGGAGCCATGGCTATTTAAGTGGTGTCAAACTGCATTGTTTCTACTATGTAGATGCCCTCCCTCAGGGTGCATCTGCACTGTAGAAATAATACAGTTTGACACCACGTTAAGTGCTGTAGCTCCGTTCTATGGAATCCTGGGATCTGTAGCTTTACAGGGTCTTTCAGCCTTTTCTGCCAAAGAGTGCTG